CGCCGCCGCCGAAACCGCCTCCGCCGCGGCCACGACTGCTGCTGCGGCCACGGCCGCCGCCACGACCACGACCTTGCCCCTGACTCCTACTTGAGTACCGCTCCTTGCGGCCCTGACCATCGGCGAAGTACGCTTGCTCTGAGCCCTTCGTCCCTTTTCCTTTCCCCTGCTCCAGCTTGTCCTTGATCGCCTTGTATTCGATCATTACTTCCTTTAGCACACCGGTCCGCGTCAACTCCTTCGCGTGTCGCAGGTTGTGCTTTGTCATGGCATACTCGTCCGAAAGGGCATCCAGGAAGAGGTGAAGGACGAACGTTTCGTTGACAGTTAGTCCTTTCTCGGTAAAGGACTTTGCGGTTTGGAGCATCTCATTGAGGGCGTTTTGGGGTTTTGACCTCTAGAGATCTTGGTCGACGTCAGGGACTTGAGGTCCTCTGACGGCTGTACAGATGATTCAGGGTCGTGTATGGTCTTGAGCTCACGAAGAGCTCCCTGGGGCGTCTCTGCCCTCTTCATGATTTTCCGACCTTTTTCTTTCAATGCGTGAGACAGGAAGTTTCACGCGTGTAATGCGAGCTCTACTTGCTCGCTCCGGTACTGCTGTGACAGCGAAAACTTGCTCTTTCCGCTGTTGACGGGGATCTCCAAGCCCGCTCTCTTCAAATTGTTCCAACGGGTTTGCGCCATTAGTTGCAATGCGGAAATCGTTTAGCCATTCGTTGAAATTTTTCGATTTCCCGCTGAACGGAGGAGAAGTGTACCGCACACTTTGGTACCCTTCGCTGGGGTTGTGGCTCCGTATCCAAAGCCAACAGCAGCACCACATCTCCCATGGCACTACTACTATCTTGGTTGTGAGCAGCGGTTACTCTCACCTCTTGGGGGACAAAGCCCCCTGCTTCGCCGCTGTGTCGCCCTGACAGGCCAGACTCTCAAACAGGTTCGCGCAGGTACCTCCCGTCCTGCGCACTCCCGGTCCACGGTGCCCCTCCTTCGGCGTTCGTTGACTCCGCGGCGGCGCTCTCCCTAGCATCGCCGCGATCAGCGGCACCCTCCATGGTGCCAGCTGGCTCCTCCTTCTTGCTTGCCTTCATGGTATCTTCCACTAGCGACATTAGCTGGCTCATCTGATCCGTCAGCGAGCTAACTTGTGTCCTCAGGGCCACGAGCTCTTCTCTTGACCTCTTTCTGTCTTCCACCGCAGAGTCGCTGGAGGAGTCACCCCCATCTTTGCGACCTGACATTCCTAATGGACTCTCCCTCGAGGGCCTGACACTAGTGTATCCGCATATGTCCTGTACTTGGGGAGGGGAAACGTTTTATCTCTTGTATAAGACACGCAAGGGGAGTAGGGAGAAGGAAATCGAGGGGTCCCCGCACATGCAAACATTTCAAGGTGTACATGTGCCCCATCTGCGTGCCCTCTATTGGTGCCGGTAGATCTAACCAGTCCGTATCCAAACACACGAACGGACGCTGCTACGCACCACCATTGGTGCGACACGTACTGCTGTACCTCTCTCTACACTTTTGTGCGCGAAGGTCTAGTGTGCGACGAGTGCCTCCCGTGCTAGCCTTGTTACCCATCACACGCTTGAACGCTCTTGAGATTTCTCGATCGAAGCTCGAACCAACAAGCGAAGCACAACAAACAGCAGCAGAGACATTTTTTTATTTTTTTGCTGCTAGCCCTATATTTTACTTCTTAATAAATATATACTAATAATTAACCCTCCCTCCCCCCCGGAGTACTCCTCCCTCTCCCCCGGAGTTTGCCATCGGGGTTGGATTTTCATCGCTTGGCAACGAAGTTATAGTTGTAAAACAAGCCCCCCCCTCGGTGTTTGCCATCGGGATTGGGTTTTCGTCGCTTGGCAACGACGTTGTAAAAAAGCCAATTCAACTCGGTGAAGGCCATCCCGACTCTGGAAATCATGGATTCGAGTCCCTGTGGAGGTGTCTTTTTTTTCCAAGAAACTTTTTTTTTCAACAG